GGAATGGGAGCGCAGCGGGGATGGCTTCCTGGGCGCAGTGTCGGAGCAGAGGGTCCCGTACGGCCGCCCGGGGGAACGAAGCCGGACGGGGTTTTCTTTCGGTGTCGCCTGCGGTGATGGGCTCTCCGGTAGTCGCGGGAGCGGGGAGGGCGGCAGGGGTCTCCTGAGGTCTCCAGGGATGTGGAGGCGTCTTCCCGTGGGGGCTGCCTCGGGTAGAGGAGCGAAGGAGGGGATGTGTTTCTCTTTTTTGGGGTCACCCGTGTTCCTAGGGGGTTAGTCTGAGGCTGGGCAGTGTGAGGAAGCACGTCCCAGCTCCGTGCCCCGGTATGGCCGTGCTGAGCACCGGGGCCTGCTGTCTGTGTCGTTGTCGGCTGTTGTGTTGTTTCTGGGTACCTCTGTTATTGCAAGACCCTGGTCAAAATTAGGGCTTCTTTTACACCATGCCGTGTGTGTTCCCGTGTAAAGCATCTCAGAGCACTTGCAAGGTTTGAAAGGGATGGACGAAAACCAAGCAGGGTTCACGCAAGGATGGGGAGGAAGGTGATGGAGGCTGTGGCTGCAAGTGTGTTGGCTGATGGTAATCCTCAGTGATGGGCTGAGGGGATTACCATCAGCCAACATGTAAATATGTAAATAAATGCTTAGGTGGAGGCAGGATGGGGCCTGGCTGGTGCTGGAGGCTGACAAAGGCTGGGTAACATTGTGGTCATGAACTGCTGGGGGTAGAAACAGCGAGCTTTCGCGTTTTGTTCTTTAAAGCCATCGGTACCACAAGAATCTGGTGTTGTTGCTGGTGTGTGGTATTAGGTTTGGAAATGCTGCTGAAGGTAGAATCCACTTTCCTGTCCTGGCAGAGCGTTGATGACTCTCACAACGCTTCGTAGTTGGGAATGTGTTTGTGAAGCCCTTTGGGATGGGCAAAGCTGGGATAGTAATGGGGAAGTGGGTTAAAAATTCACCTGGCTGTTTCTTGTACATCTTTTGAAAAGCATCCTGTAGCTGAAAAGCACACACAGACCCTTTTTAAGGTGAAAACCTCCAGCCTGCTGACTGAAGAGCCAAAGTGGTCCTGTCTCCCTTTGCTTTCGTGCTCCAGTAACAAGGTTCTGATGTTTTTTCTGGATCAGGCATTTTCAATGCTAGCATTGGAAATAACAGGCTTCCTTGATTACTTGCAGTTTCTGTAGTTTAGAAATGACAAGTTTTCTTTTGTATCTCCTGTAATACTTGAATTTCACACAGTCTTTTTCCTTTCTCCAGCCTTACAAAAACTTTACTGAGTGCAGAAAGTTCTTCTGCAGCAAACTACTTCCTCTGATCTTTGAGAGTAGTCTTGTGTGTAGTTACGTGTTTGATGTCCTCATAGTCTATGAATGCCAAGTCTGGCAGCCTTGGCAAAATCTGTTTGCAGAGAAGTTGTGAGTATTGGAGTATTTTTCCGCAAATAGCGTCTCTTTGAAAGTTCACCTTCCCTAAAACATCACCAGTTTCTCTTCTCTCCCCTCAGATTTGAAAAGCGTGGTTGGTTGTAAGCTGGTGAGGAGGTGCTCAAGGCCTGCGCTGGCATCCCTCACTCTGCTCCGTGCCAGAAATCTTTTAATTACTCCTCAAGTAGGCCAGCTTCTTTGTCTGGCTTAGCTGCACGATTCTGGTGTGCAGTGCTCTTGCTTTACTGTAGCATGATGTAGATAAAGAGATCCAGAAGAGTCTCCCCTTGGGCTTGGCATGTGCCATTTGGAGAGGGGAATTGGGAATGCCCTCAGTGGCTCTCTGGTGCGTGTGGGGAGGGCAGGGGCACAGTCCTGAGGGATTGTAACGGCCAGGGAGCATCCAGAGCTCCATCAGACTCTGCTGGGAGAGCTGCGGGACTGTGCGTTGTTGGTGGAGCTAAGACCACAAAAGAACTTCCCCTCCTTTGAAATGCACCTTCTCTGTCTTCACTGGAGAAGATGTGGTGGTTTTGCCACCAGGAAATAGAGCCAGCTGGGAGAGGAGCAGGGCAAATGAAACGCACGCTTTCAGGACACGTGTTGCATGTTCAGGATGAGCGTAACAGCTTGTTATTGTCTCGAAGGAGCTCTGTATGTGAGCGAGGGCTGCTGCACCATCCTGCCTTCCCATCTCCTGCCCACACCTGCCGTGGTGGCTGAACTGTGGCAAAACTCAGTGATGGGCAGCTCCTGGCACCCGAGGCGGGATTTTTCATGTGCTTTGCTGCTGGCCTGGCCCCAGCCCCAGGCTCTGTTGGCGAGTCTTTGGCAAACAGCCTTGCACACCCTGACCAGTCTCATCTCCCAGCTTCAATCTGCAAGCGGGAGGTGGGAGCTGAGCTGGCTGTTACCTGAAAGTTGAATCCTGCTGGTGTCTCATCACAGGAGGTGTCTTTTGGAGCAGTTATATCATAGAATGCTTTGAGTTGGAAGACACCTCAAAAGGTCACCTAGTCCAACCCCCTGCAGTGGGCAGGGACATCCCCAACTAGATCAGGTTGCTGAGCCCCATCAAGCCTGACCTTGAATGTCTCCAGGAACAGGGCTTCCACCACCTCTCTGGGCAGCCTGGTCCAGTGTTTCACTATTGTGAGAGTAAAGAACTTCTTCCTAATGTCTAATCTAAATTGACCCTGCTCAAGCTTAAAACCACCACCCCTCGTCCTGTCACTACATGACCTTGAAACCAGTCCCTCCCCAGCTTTCTTGTAGGCCTCTCCAAGTACTACACAACCCACCACAGGGTCTCCCTGGAGCCTTCCCTCCTCCAGGCTGAACAGGGTGTACCTTCAGGAGAGCTTGGTGTCGATGGAAGCCAGTCTGAGAAGTTTCTGTCCTTGTCCTGCAGTTTGCTGTCGCTTTGGTTTGTGGGTCTGTTTAGTAAACTATTGCTGAAATGTCCTGGGTTAGGGTTAAATATAACTCTCTTTGGAGGGTCATCTGTGGTGCAGCCCCAGAAAAGCCCAGGCTGGCACAAATAACACGTTGCACATTGCCAGGGGTGGAGCTGAGGGAGCAAATGGTGTCAGGCTGACCAGGGGCCTGTTGAGCCAGCGTTGCTGCCTGTGTTATTGAACCATGACCTAATGCTCATGGATGTTGCTGCTTGGCTCAGCTGATCTATGCCAGGCCTGGTATCAGTCCAGTGGTGGTTTTTTCACTGTCTGATAATCTGAATATTATGTCTGAACAGTTCCCAGCTGGCAAGGGTTGGTTTGGGTTGTTTTTTTAAGGATCGGTAAGTTTGTTGACTTAATGAGAACTGGAGTAGGGGAGGAAATCTAAAAGAGAAGAACAGGAAACACCAGGTCTGCAGATATCTGCAGGCTGAAAAAGGTTGTGGATAAAAGGCCTTGGTGATGATTGACAGCCGTTACCATCTCCATGCACCAGTCCTCTCCATGGAGGGTGCAGTCTCAGTTCCCTTAGATTCACATCCAAGAAATTAAAAATGATAGAGCTTGTGGAGGAAATCTCAGGGACTGGGGAGGTGCTTGTTGCATCAAGAGCCATGTCAAACATGAGCAGACCAGTGTTCTCAGGCTTAAGTGGCCAGCTGAATGGACCTGTTTCATCTTTGGAGATGGTGTTAGGGCAGATGGCTCATTGATGGTTCTACCTGTTGCCTTCATCAGCCATCACACCCTTGTGTGCCAGCCCATGCTGTTCCCGGCTCCCATGTGAGCCTTGGCTGGCTGGTGATGGACCCTGGCAGGAGTGGGTGCTCCTCTTGGCAGGCCAGCTCCTTTGGCTGCTTGGCACAGGCCACCGCTGACAGCGGTGTCTGGAATCGTTCCCTGTTGGAGTGTGTCATAACCTGCTCTTTCAACGGCCATCTACGTGGCTGCACTGACCTTTGGAAGTGAGAAGAAACTGGATCTTGTGTGTGTTTCTCCAACGCTAGCTGCTCTAGCCAGGCCTGTCAGCGACCGTGCTGTCTTCTGTTCTGCCTGACCTCTGCACTTAGTTGAAGTGCAGTGACCTCTGCACTTAGTTGCCCAGCTTTGTTGCCCTTCTTTGGACATGCTCCAGCCCTTCAATGTCCTTCTTGCAGTGAGTGGCCCAAAAAGCTGCTTTGTAGCAGCATGCAAGCCCCAGGTCTCCCAACCTTGGTCTGGTGTCAGGGTAGCCCTCTGGAACTGCTGCAGCTGCTTCATCCAGAGCAGGTTTGAGACTATCTATCTGGTTGTCAGCTGCCTCATTTTGCTCTGTGTTCTGCTGCAGCCTTTTTTTTTTTTTCCCCTTTGGGGAAAGATGCAAATACTTCTCAGTCAAGTCCCAGCTTTGACAATTGCCAGGAAATCCTCACCTTCTCTGCTGGTGGGAGGAAGGGGACAGAACGTTCAATCTCTGCTGAGGCAAGTGTTGTCTGCAGCACTGGCCTTGATGAGGGCGGCATTGGAGAGCAGTGCCTGGAATGATGCATTGGCACAGTCTAATCTGTTATCTACATACTTCTGAGGGCAGAGTAAGCATGGTAGACCAATAGTAGTGATTGTTTCCTCGAACAGCAGAGAGCTTTTGGCAAAAATAGTTTAAACTAAACATTAATTGCAAACTGTTGTTCGGCAACAGTCCTTGTTGTTTATAGATTGTGGTGATACCACATTTCTAGCTGTGCTCTGAGCAGTGTCAGACAGCACAGTATGTTGGAAAGCTTTGTGTTAATCAAAGCAGATATCAAACTGTTGGCCCACCCCTATTGACAGTTTGATTTCAGAAGTCGGCACCTGCAAAATGTGGAGAAATGCAACAAATAAATTAACTCATACCTTGGTGTGGTCTTGTATATTGGTGGAGCCTGAGGAGATGTTCCACACACCCCTTCTCCTAACCAGTGGTGTTTTTCTTACCTGGTGTGTGTTCTTTGCTTTGGGGCTTATTGTCATGTTATTTATTCAACAGGTTGTGCTGTCTTGGTGTTCTTAGAGTGAATTATCCTTTTCTGGAAACCTGCCAGACAAGATTAAAATGTGGGGAGACCATCGACAAGGCAACAGAATGGGATCTTTTCGGTAAGCATCTGAGTGTACAGTTTGTTTCAGCAACATTCTTAAATACAACAAGACCTTGCAACTTTGTTTGTTTGTCAATATTTCTGCACAGCCTCCCTTAAGCAGACTATTTTGGTAGGAGTTCTGAGGTCCGTGTGTAGCTAGGTGTGTTTGCTAAAGAATAGGCAAGTTAAGTGACAATGAAACCTTCTGCATTTCTGTGAAGTTTTTTAATTTATTTTTTATTTAAACAAGAGCTGCTTTTAGTGTTTCTATTTCTTCTCCACACCACCTTTTCTAGCAGTGCTCAGTTCAGCCCTTGTAAGCTCAGATGATGATATGCCATAGGGGTTGTGGTGCTCTATGCTGCTAAGACTTAGAAGAGAAGTATGAAATAGTGTGGTGTTGATTCTCTTTGGCCATGCTGCTTGCCTTAGTGTCAGAAATACTTGCAATTCATGGCACTCAGGATTTTATGAAAACTCTGAGAGTTTAGCTCTCTCCATGAGGTTAAGTAGACCATATATTCCCATGTATCTTGGCTGTGCTCCCTCATAAGACATTTTTGAATGCCACTTAGACCTGCACAGTGTGATATTTTTCTCAGTTTATATTCCTCTGTTTGTTACTAGGCCCTGCATCTGCAAGAGGGCTGTGGGTATAAAAGGAAAAATCAAAATACAGAGGCACTAAGAGCTCAGATTTTCCTCTACTCTGTATAATTCCTTCATCCTTTGCTCACATGTTCACCTCAGTTACTTGAATATAGGTGTGATAAAGGTACTTTCTCGTGGGATACCTTAGGCTTCTGCAATAAGAATACTTAAAATGATTGTCCAGCTGTAACATCTTGAGAAATCTGATGACATTTGAGCTATGAAAACCTGTATCCTCCAGAACATGTCTTGATAGGAGCATGATTGTGTTTTGTGATAGCATCAGTAGAGCTGTCTTGCTTATTTTTAAGTGGATTTTATTGGCATCAGTCTTGACTGTATTGGGTGGGGAATTCTAACCCTGAACCAAGTTTTAATGCTGTTCTAGGTGGTGGTGAAACAGGGACATGTAGCTTAGGAAGTCTGCACCTGGTTTGATTAACTGTGCAGATGTCTCCTTGTATCCTGTTGGTGTGTGACTCTGTAGGGAGACTCAGAGAAGAACGTGACTTACTGTAGTGACTAAGGAAATATCGACAGATTTGGGTAGCATTTGGTGGTATTTTAAAATATGTTGATATTTTGTTCTGGTTGTTTGTTTGTTTGTTTGTTTGTTTGTTTTAAAGTGTTGGAGCCTCACTTAGATGAAAAATCAGGTAGCTCCATCTCAGAATAAACCTCATTGGGTTTTGAAAAACTGTACTAAGAGGAAACCTCTTCCAGAGTGGTTTTATGCAGCTCTCAGGAGAGCTCATAGCTGTAGTGTTGTAAACTCGGTGTAAGACAGCCAGTCTGGATACATGAGCAGAGGATCATCCTGAATGTTGGTTGTTGGCAGATTTCTAGAGTCGTAGAATCGTTTTGGTTGGAAGACATCTTTCAGATCAAGCCCAGCCATTAGCCTAGCACTGCTAGGTCACTGCTAACCTGTGTCCCTCAGCAGCACATCTCCATGGCTTTGGAACTCCTCCAGGGATGGCGGCTCCACCACTGTCCTGGGCAGCCTGGGACAGGCCTTGACAAACCTTTCAGGAAGAAATTTTTCCTAATGGCCAACCTTAACCTCCCCTGAGGCTGCAACTTGAGGCTGTTTCCTCTTGCCCTAGCACTCGTTCCTTGGCTGAAGAGACCAACCCCCACCTGGCTCCAACCTCCTTTCAGGGAGTTGTGAAGAGCCAGAAGGTGTCCCCTGAGCCTCCTTTTCTCCAGGTTCAACAGACCCCGCTCCCTCAGCAGCTCCTCATAAGATTCTAGATGCTCTAGATTCCTTTGAGGGATCCTCAAAGTCTGAGCTGACAGCTGTCATCATTTGGCCAGTTCAGACTCCAGCAGAAGGAGGTGTAAATGACTGTCTGTAGTGTGTTCCTAGAGCATGTTTTGTAACCTCTGCTGTAGATGTGCCTCAGTTGACACCTTAAGTTAGCTGTTTGTCACAATGCCCCGAGAGCTTAAGCTCAAGTAGCTCCTCACAGGCGTGTGCTGGTGATGCTAAAGAACACATGCATCAGCTGCTGGAACCTTGAACAGCTGCCCAGCTGTGTGCAGTGCAGGACTATGTGGATTGCTACCATCATTAACTCATTAATATTTCAGGTATTCCCTGTTGAGTGCTTCTGGAAATTGTGCAGAAATGGGAGCACCCAAGTTTACTTTCTCACATCTGTCGTATGCTGCCTCATCTTAAACTGCCAAACATCTTCTGCGGACCTTAGACTCTTACACAACCCTATAAAAGTTTAGAGAAGAATGTGCTGCTGTGTAGATTTCAGACTCTAAGCACGTTATGAATAATACTGTCTTTATTTCTACAGTGGGAGCCAAGAAGAAAGGTTTGCTCCCGGGTGGAACAGGGAATATCCTCCTTCCCTTGATAGTCTTGCTCAAGAAAGACACTCTGGCAACTTCTCTGGCAGAGAATCACTTCCTTTTGATATCCAGGCACTCACAGGCCTCCTCAATCCTCAGTTTGCCAACAGAGAGCAACCTTCTTTCAGCTTTGGAGCTAGAGATGGACCATGTAGTGACTTCAGAGGTGGGGAGGGTCACCATGATTTCAGGGGCAGAGATTTCCCGCCATCTGACTACCAGGGTAGAGATGAGTCTCAGATGGATTTCAGAGGCAGGGAGCCCCCCTCTTCTGAGTACAGGGGCAGGGACATGTACTCTGGAGACTTCCGGGAGAGAGAAGGGCCACCTATGGACTTCAGAGGTGGGGATGTTCCCCCAGTGGACTACAAGAACAGGGAGACGTTCCGTATGAACTACAGGGATAGGGAAGCACATAACATGGATTACAGGGGCAGAGATGAACCTCCACCAGACTTCAGGGGAAGGGGGTCTTTTGATCTCGACTTCAGAGGTCGAGATGGATCTCACTCAGACTTTAGGGCGAGAGGTGTGCCCGAGTTAGACTACAGGGGCAGAGAGCATTCCTATTCAGACTTCAGGAACAGGGACGTACCGGATTTGGACTTCAGGGGTGTGGGCGCCTCCGATTTGGACTTCAGAAACAGAAACACACCGTCGTCAGACTTCAGAAATAGGCACAGGTCCCGGTCTGATCAGGATTTTAGGAGCAGAGATGTGGCTCCTCCTATGGATTATTCAGATAGGGAAATGCCTCCTGTGGATCAAAGCCTTGCAGATTTTAGACGCAACCAATCTACTGTACCTTTAGCAGAAAGAGAGGGCTCTGGTTTAACCACCAGCAAGAGAGAGGAGCCTGCACTTGGTCTAGACAGAACTCCCTTTGGTAGCCAAAAAGGAGAATTTCAACACTCAGAAGCACCAGCCAGAGAAGAGGAATCCCTTGGATTGGGTCTCGAAGATGACTCTTCACACAATTTCCAGAATAGCCGTGGACCTCTTCCTGCTCTTCAGGACCAAGAGGAGCAACCCCAGACCTTTGCCAACAAGCAGCAACAGCAGCAGCAGCTTTCTGGGGGCGAGCAGCAAGGATCCGAGTCTGATCTTGTGTTAAAGGGTGAAGGTGATCTGGATTTCCTTGGAAGGCAAGACACCGACTACCGAAACATGGAGTATCGCGATGTGGATCACCGGCTGCCAGGGCATCAGATGTATGATTATGAACATGGCAAGTCCTTTTCAGAAGGAAAACCCAGCAAAGATTCTAGGCCGTATAAGAGCCTTCAGGTAGGTGATTTTGTCAGCTTACGTTTCTGTTAAACACACGTTGGCTGGAGAATGGAAGGAGCTGGGAAGGAGCCTTCTGGTCATATCCTGTCACTTCCGTTCTGTCCTAATTCACTGTTCTCTGAGGTCATCATCATGCTCCAGGTTGTTTTAATGGAGACTCTTCTCTCTCAGAAATACTTTCTTCTCAAGAGAAATGCAATGTAGCAATTGAGAATTGCTAAGCCTGTAGAACCAGGTTTGGTTCAGAAAGTCCCCAGTTTGAAAATGACCAGACAGGGAGAGTGCTGGGGGGAAGTAGCATGTGAAAGAACTTAACTTTGTTACTTCCTCGTGGATGTTGCTTGCCAGCGCTACCAGAGAGAAGCTACTGGCTCGGGGAGACCTGTGTGGAACAGTACAGCTGTTCTCATGCATGCTTTGCCTTCCTTCAGAGTTAACTGTGAAAGCTGAAGGTGTTGGTAACTATTGAGTTAATAACAACCACTGAATTTCAATCTCCTGCTGCTGGAAAGCAGAGAGAGGTGGTTTGCCTGTTCTGTTCTCCTGGACCTAGATCTAGTACAGCTCAGCAAGCATATGAAGTGAGCTATATTAGTCCTCTAGAGCTCTCTGAATCTTAGGCAGTGCTGTGGGTAAAGGTTATGGGCCTCTGCCTTCGAATTATACCCTGCTTTATTTCCTTAGTGTTTGTGTATCTTGCGAGGTAGCATCTCTCATTTATAAAAACCATCTTGGTTGTGTGAACTCAAGGACCAAGATTACCGGACCGGTCCCAAATATGTGAAGCCAAGCAAGCTCATTCGGCTGGGAGGAGTGCCTGAAACTGCCACAAAGGATGATGTGAGTGGGAGGGGTTTCACTCAAAAACTTCTCTCAGGGCTTTCTAGAAGTGCTGGTTTTAAGTTTGCTTAGTGTAGTTCAGATGGTCTGTCATTTTCTCCCGGGGCAAATCCAGATTTAGAAGTCATTGTGATGTTAGCTTTTATCTAATTATTTCGGGTTTTGGGGAGGCTGGAGGTGATGAGCTTTTCTGCAGTTGCATGTGGAGTGTTGATGGCTGAACGCCTTGACCTCAGAATCTTTTTAACATGCCTTACTTCCAGCCTTGCTTTTTATATACCGAATATTATTACTTTGTTGCTATATTTTGGGCTCAGATGACATGTAGTGTCTAAATGAACTTGTTAGTTACTTGGAGTTGCTTAAATGAGATCTTTTCAAGATGGGAAAGATGTCTGCTGCTACTGATGATTTTTCTAAAACCCCCCAAAATTATCTAGGCTAAAAGGTGAAAAAAAACTCCCTTTCCAAAAAACTCCACTTTGAATTGGGATTTTTTTTGGGTGGCAGTTCCAGCCATGAGAACCCTACATGCAACAGTTTTTGCTAGGGTTGGCTGTGACAGTCAGAGCTTCTGAGGCTTGATACTGAAGAACCTGTGACAGAAACTTTGCCCATCAGAGAATGATAAGACTCAGAACAGTCACGCCGTCCTTTGCTTTTCTTAAAGGCAGTGAGGCATCTCTGGCCTTAAATAAGGGTCAGAGGTGAACTTTCTGGCTTGAAATCAGCCTTTGCACAGTTGAATTGTTGTGTAAATGGTGCTTGCTTATTTAAACTAACCCAAAAATACTTCCCAAAACTCAATAAACAATTCTCAGATACGGCTGGGACTTAATCAGGAAAATGTGTCAGCTTATAACAGAGTTAACATAGAAAGAAAAGGAGTCCGGGGGAGAGAAAAATCTATGTTAGCAAGTGCTTTTCTTTCTGAGGTTTGAATTTGGAGACTGAAGGATCTTGGTTTTCCTGTAGATTCTCAACGCTTTCCGAGGGCCTGATGGGACACCGGTGAAGGACTTGCGACTGAAAGATTACAGTTCAGGTGAGAATGCTTTACCAGTGCTTCTAGTTTCAAGTTTACAAAAGGGTATTTTGCACACTGATAGTCAGTTTGGTTAAAGTCTCTGGTGCCATAATCACAGGTATTTTCGAGTGAAAATGCCCACTGAGTTTTGTGATTTGTCCTCGTCTTCATAACTGATGGCTGTGCTCACTGCTAGTTCAGGGGCCGCTATAGTAGCCATCAAGAGTAAAGCCAATACTGACATGGGACTGCAGGTTAATTCTTCAATAGATTGAAAAAAAGAAAAAAAAAAAAAAATTAAGTCCTTTTGGATTGTTCTGCGTCTTGTTTCTGAGATGGTCTTGCTGTGAAACACGTCCTGCACATAGTGTCCTCAGGAAGCCTAATACACCCTAACATTTCTCCTTCAGTAACATGAAACTGTTACCTTTCTGAGATATGAAGACAGGTTAAAAAAAGAAAAAGTAAGTTTTATAAGCAAATATCCAAATACTGGGTCTGGATGCTCTCCCTCATTCAAAGAAGAAAGATTTGCTGTGCTTCTGATCAGTACATATAGGAATCTGAAGAAAGAAAGATTTTACAAGGCTGCTTTGTGAGAAAGTTGTGCTGGAAAAAAGATGTGCAATGGTAGGAAATGCAGGGTGAGTCCTGGGGATTGGTTTGGATAATACTGGTAGGAAATACCTGGAAAGCAGTGTTTATTATTTATTTTTAAATCTGGGAAAGCAGAGGCTTCTACCTTCATCAGTACTTCTTGTTACCAGTATGGGTTGCACTTGAAGCAGGTGAAATTCTCAGTGTCGATACATTATATAAAGGCTTCCTATGTGTTTAGTAATGGGAGAGAAACTGGGGCAGTTGGGTATTTCTCAAGTATATTTTTGTTTCTGGAAGCTGTCAAAGGAGATTGCACAACCCACCCGTGAACCTTTGAACTAAAGAACAGCCCTGTGTCCCATAATCTGGGCTGGCCCAACCAGCAGGGCTTAAGGGGCACAATCAATCTTTCTTGCTTCCTTTCCTCTCTTCTAAGCATAGCACAGCATGGCTGACGTCAAACACACACCACTGACTGCCACCCAGGCATTGTGACATACTCACTTTTTGCCTGTGCTGATGTGATTTGTCAGATTTTTACTGAAGCATAGAACTTTTCAGTAATAAATCAACTTGAACTGGGAATCTCCTCATAAATTTCTTTTCATGGGCGTTTTAAGGACTTACTGTCCTCATTAGAAATCTGGTGTCTCCTCCTTCCCATTCCCCATTTCAGAGACTGCTCAGGATGAGATGCAGTGTGTGAATTTATGTGCAGAGACTCCAGTATCTGCTGGTGGTCACATGTGATACGAAGGTTGCAGTTTTGTGCCGTCTTTCTAAAAGCTGCATTTGGTTTCAGTCTGTCTCTTCAGCTGCAAAGTGTGGGGGGTTTTTTGGTGTCTTTTTTTTTTTTTTGTTTTGTTTTGTTTTCCAGGCAATTGGGGAAAGAATGAAGTTAAAATTAGCTCATATTTTCTGAGCAACTTAAAGCTGTTTTTTAACCCTGTCCAGCCCACATCAGTACTTTAAGCAGAGTAAGCATTATTCTGGGTTATATGGATGCTTTGCGTTATGTCCCGAGGCTGCAAATGCAGCTGCTAATTTAAACAGCTTCTGATCCTTCTTACGCAAGGTGGATACATCTAGGACAATAAAAGCTTCCTGAATTGTGAAAACTTCCTTTTGAAATTGAGTAACTAGAAGCTGTAGTAAACTTAATCCAGCTTTTTCACATTAGGTCTTTCTGTAAAAGAGTGTGTGAAGTTGAATTCGTATTCACTTGTGAAAAGTAAGCCTGTTTGAAACTAAGGGCCAGTTGTTGGCTAAAGAATGCTTTTAGGATGGGGGCGTGTGTTTGTAAATATTCATAAGAATGCGGACCAGGCTTGCTGGATTGCAGATGTCCCTCGGATACCCCCGGGCCTGCTGGCTGCCCTGCTCTGTCAGCTTCGGGGGCTCGGAGGAGCGTGTGCTAAGCCAGTCTGAGTGGGTTGTGTGTTTTTTGAGGGCTGTCCAGAAATGTTAAAAATAACATTAATCATGAGTATACATGTTGAGTGTGCTTGAGAGAAGAATGCCTGCAGCTGCTGGAAAACAATAACCACCAGAACAAATCACACGTGATTAACTTGGCCTTGGGGAGGTTCGGACCGGTTTCACAAAAAGATAACACTTATCATAAAGCTTATCTCAGCAGCTTCCACATGATGATGGTGGCACTGTATAATCTTTCACAAGACTGTCTGTTTTGGGGTAGAATACATGGTTGAGATTTTTCTTGGAAAAAAGCAGCTCGATTTCTTTTTAAAGCCCTTTCTTTTTATATACCACATATGTGCAAAGGAAACATATTTTCACTGAAGGTTGTGCTGAGCATGGAACGCTGTTCTTAATATACCTGGTGTGAGTTTGAAATGCACTCAAGCTGTTTGTTTAGATTATTTTGTCTCTGAAGCCCACAGACTGGAATGGTGGCTAGATTTTAAATGAGATAGTGGAAGGAGAGGCCTTAAGATGTGGCATAGTCTTTCTATTTAAATCAAAAAGACAGATATTTACAGACAATGATAAAATATCAGTCAGACTTCAGACTATTACCCTACACAACATTCACTTGTAAATTCCATCAGCTGCATTTTTGAATTGATGCCTGTATGTTCAGACTGAAAGTATCAGATCCATTTGTGAGAGGAAGAGGGCTTCTTCCAACATCACATGCAAGTCTTGGCAGAAATAACTGATTTAGATTGTTGGCTTATCTCTCAGCTTCCGTTTTCAAGTGTGTCTGGTCATGTCTGTTCAATTAATCATGACAAAGAATAAACCCTGAGGTGATAGTGGAATCTTCTCAAAGACCATCAGCTGCTTTAGTCTGCAGTATCTCCTGGTGCCTCTTGCTGCCTTGCGTTGAGGCAGCGATGGGATGTTCTGCTGCTTGGGTAGATACTGGTGGTGATGACTTGTCAGCAGCTCTCTGAGAAGGGGTTGTCCTAATGGCTTTTGAGCTCCCCCTGTCCCATCTGAAGGAACTTATCTCTGCTTGCTGGAGACAGGGCTTCATGTGGCTTTACAGTGTGGACCTGTCAGTGCAGTGTGTAACAGCACCAGGCTACTGGTGGCATGGTGTCTGTTATTCTCCTTTTACTGTCCTTGTGCTTGCATTGGTGGTGATCTCGAGGAACTTGAAACCAATACACTCTGACCTTTGAGGAGTCTAACATGAACATACTTTGTCCTGGTTTTGATTTTGGTCACATGTTAAGCTTCCCTCCTCCCTGATTCTCATTGAGCTTTCCTTCTGTTTTTCTGACTAACATCAAACATAAGCAAAGTTTGAGATACCATCTTGAGTGTCTGATGTGCACAGAACTCTTTGGCTGAACACACACGTGTGCCCTGGAGAAGAGAAGACATGGAGCTATCTTCATCTTGAAGGGTTGCTAATGATGAATCATTCACCCTTAAAAGGTGCTGGAGTGGTATCCAAGTAATACGTGAGAACATGAACTGTACTCTGAACCTTCTGTTCAAATAGTTCTAGATGCGATCTCTGGTGGGACAAGCTTGGAATATGTGTTTTCCAATCAGGATTCAAGTTAGGGTTAGTACCAGCAGTTGGGAAAAGCTGCTCAGGGAAAGCAAGCCTGAGAAGTTGCTGGCAGCCCGTGAGGCTTTTCTAGCTTAATCTATGATCCTGTCTGGGGAACCAGGAAGAGTTTTTGCTGGGCTGGGAGAGCCCACTGGAGAATGGACACACTGGCCAAGGTGGAGATCGGCACTTGCGGCGAGGAGCTCTGTGAAGCAGACCTGGAGCGACCAGGTAAGCTGGACTGCAGTCTGAAGCCCCTTTAGGTACCCTCTGAATTAGTGCTCCACTTCAGATCCAGTTGGGAGATTTGGGGTTGTTAGCCCTCTTCTGACCCTCTGAATTCTCCCTTTTGAACCCTGGGTGGGGATGCAAGAGCGCAGTGCTGCACTCCTGAGGAGCAAAGCACCCATAGAAGTGGGGAGACTGGAGTAGGGAGGAGCTCTCTGGGCAGCAGTAGTGCCTGGGGCTAGAGGGGTGTCCACGTGGATACAAGGGGCTGATGCTAAAGGACAGACATGCTCCTCTGGTGGAGGGACATGCAGGAAATATCGTGTAGTCTCAAAATGCGACTAAACAAGCAGCTACCTAACAGCAGCTGCCTGCTCCGTTTTGAAAAGCTTTTGTTCTAGCAAGTACTATTGGCACCAAATGTACTTTTCTTTCTTGCTTAGGGAATTTATTTTTGCACAACCATTTATTTTGTTTCATTTATCCAGACCTGGCCCTCTTGTGGTGCTTGAAACTGCCCCCCTCATCCCTCCCTTTGTTAAACTTAAACTGCCTTGGCCAAGTCCTGGACAAAACAGGATTATCTTGCTTGTGCTCACTGAGCTCTGCTGCATTGGTGCCCTGTTAAATATTAATAAGCCTCTTAGATAAAACTTTAGAAGGTGGGGTGTTTTTTTCCTTCAAGTGCAGTCTGTCTTATGTATTGGAACAGTGAATCACTGGTTTGGGGAGGATTTCGGGAGGCCTCTGAAAATGAAAATTGTATTCTTTACTGTTGCATTTTGCTAAAACTCATCATCTAAGGTCCAGATTTTTTCACTTCATGATAGAGAAATTGGTACAGATTTTTTAGTGGTGCATTTCTCTGTACTAGGGATAACTCCTTCATTTTCTATGGGTGGTGTGTGTCCCAAGGCAGTGAGATCTCCTCACTCTTACAGCAGAGCTCCTGTTGTGGTATACTGCAGGCATGGCTATGCCTTTCTTTGGCCCACAGATAAGGGAGAGATCCCTCACTGTAGCTGTGTGTGTGGGAGGGGTTTGGGCTAGTGATGCTGGGGTAGGGAGCTCAGAAGTGCTGGTGAAATCCTGCACAGGTACCCAGCTCCTGCCTGCCACATGTGCTGTTGTGCTGCAGCTTCCAGCATCAGGAAGGGCT